ACTCCTCCCACATACACACACATACACACACACACACACAAATAACCCACCAGAATTATTCCTCAACAAGGTATCCACACCGTTCTGCAACAAGAACACGACAGCCGCGCTGTGACCTCCCATGGCCGCCAGGTGAAGGGCGGAGTTACCGAACCTGTCCTGTACGTTGATGCTGGACACTTTGCCGCCCTGGAACTGAACGCAGGAGTTTGGTTTTAGTAAGAGTTTTACGGCACTTGCAACACAATAAGGTCATATGAGCGCAAGAAGATTAGAGGTGTTACAAGAGAGTAACAAACACAAAAAAGAAGGAGGAGAAATCAGGACGAGAGATGTTTGATAGGAAAGAAGGAGTAAACCACACCAGAGCACCCGCCAACCACCCACGAAGAATAGGATGAGATGCAAAAAGAAGAAATAGGTAGAGGAAGAGAAGAGGAGGAGGAGGAGGAGGAGAAGGAGACAAAGAAGACAAATAGACACACACACACACACACACACACACACACACACACACACACACACACACACACACACACACACACACACAACAACTCACCACTGTAGTCAGTCTCTGTATATCCCCTGACGCGGCCGCCTCCAAAAACTCGGCCACATTCCTCAGACAGGCAGTGTTGTCCGCAGCTGGGGAAAATGGAGAAATGGTATTGGTTTTAACGCCCCTATCAACACTATTAAGTTTTTTAATAACTCTTTATCTCCGGTAAGCGGCTCGCGGTCGGAACCACTGTGTTGGTGAGTCGCTGACAGCAGCTCGGGCACATTCCTTTACTACGACTTCCACATTAAAATCACTTTTCGGCAATTGCCAAAAACAGGGCTCTTTTATCGGAAGTTCATTCATTAGATGAAGAACTATCGAAATAGGTTTGCTAGTTTCGATTTAATGACACATTTAATTATGTTTTTGTCATTGTTAGATCTTGCACCAAAAAAAGGCCCCGGCGTAGTGATCAACAATCATCCCCTTCAATCACCCCCCCCCCTCACCATCAATCATCACCCTTCAATCATCCTCCCACTCACCTTCAATCATCCCCTGACTCACCATCAATCATGTCTTTGATGTGCTGTGTGTGGGCAATGTCCCAGAGGTTGGTTCTGTGAGTTCACCACGTCAGTCAGAGCACCATTAATCATACCCCCATCAATCATCAATCATTCCCCTTTCAATCATCCCCCCCACTCACCTTCATTCATCCCCCCACTCACCATCAATCATGTCCTTGATGTGCTGCGTGCGGGCAATGTCCCAAGGTCGCTGGTTCTGCGAGTTGACCACGTCGGTCAGAGCTCCGTGCTGCAGCAAAAGCGCCACCACCTCCTGACAAACAGACAACACAGTAGACGCCCGTTATAGACAAACCCTGCTTTGCTTGTTTATTTGTTTGTTTGCTTGTTTGTCTGCTTTGTTTCTTTTCTTCTTCTTCTCCATCACATCACACTTGAAGTCTGGTATCTGTCATAATTATATTGGGCCGTCCTGCTCAGTTCATCTGTCGGCCCGTACGTATAGCTTCTCTTGTAGCATCAGTTGGATTGGCCACGTTTCCTGTCTCAGGGTGCCCCTGTGTGTCTTGCAGTGCTGAAGGATGTGTTCAACAGTTTGTTTGCTTGTTTGTCTGTTTGCTTGTTTGTCTGTTTGCTTGTTTGTCTGTTTGCTTGCTTGTCTGTTTGCTTGTTTGTCTGTTTGCTTGTTTGTTTGCTGGTTTTTATTTGTTTGTTTGTTCGCTTGTTTGTCTGTTTGCTTGTTTGTCTGTTTGCTTGTTTGTTTGCTGGTTTGTATTTGTTTGTTTGTTCGCTTGTTTGTTTGCTGGTTTGTATTTGTTTGTTTGTTCGCTTGTTTGTTTGCTGGTTTGTATTTGTTTGTTTGTTTGTTCGAGTCTAATCTTCTCAGGTCTTTTTTGCGGGCGCGTCCAAAAGTTGGACGACCAACAAAATCTAAATACGTGTATGCGCATTACTTAAGGCCCTTGCAAACTAGAGCTCGCTCACTTTCGTTTGTCTGCGAGTAAAACAAGATAAGCCGCTGTCTAACCTTTTTTTGGCATGCGCGTCCCGAAGTTGGATGACTAACATGACAGAATCTAAACATTTCGTCTGTTTGCGAGCAAAACAAGATAATGTTCTTTAGTTTTAATCTTCTAAGCTCTTTTCTGCATGCTTGTCCAAAATTGGATGACCAATAGAATTTAAAAGCACATTAATTAAACTCTCTCTTTCTCCCTCTCCTCTTTCACTCCCTCTCTCTACCACCCTTTTCACCCCCCCCCCCTCACTCACCTCCCTGCCTCACTCACCTCCCTCCCTCCCTCACTCACTCTCTCCCTCCCTCTCTCCCTCCCTCTTCTCCCTCACTCACCTCCCTGCCAGTGTAAGCGGCCAGGTGTAGAGGGCTCTCCATGCATGTGTTACGTACGTTGACACTGGCGCCAAACTGTGGAGGGGGGGGGGGAGAGGAGAGGATGAGACATGGTATGGTATTTCTAGCTTTTTTAAAAAGAAAAATAGTAGAGGGTTTTACGGCGCTCGCAACTGCATACGGTCAAATGAGCGCCAAGGGGTGGGTGTCAACAGAGAAGTCTTTACAGGGAATCAGACTTAGACTGCCTCTCTAGCTTCAACAGCACAAGGTCTGCTTCGACTATCAAGACACCCCGGAAATAGCGGGTCACAAGAGTGTGACAAACATACAAAAGAAGTAGAGGAAAATGGCAATAGTAAGGATTAGGAAAGAAAAAGCAGCAGTTCCCTGTTGTAGATCAGGCACAGTTATGAGCGTGACATGATGAATCAGCCCATTTACAATTCTACTATGCTTGAACGAGAAATGTCGCCCCTTTGAGAATGGCCTAAAGACACTTCAAGTCAGTGGCACTTCCCCGGGACGTTTCTAGCTTTAGTACGAGTTTCACGGCATGGGCAACACAATAAGTTTAGAATCTATATAAAAGCCAAAGATTAGAGGTGTTACAAGAGAGTAGCAAACACAAAAAGAAGGAGGAGAGATAAGGACGACAGATGTTTGATAGGAAAGGGGGAGCAAACCACACTATAGAGCACCCATCAATGTCCCACATGGTATGGTGTGGTGTGTGTCTAGTGGTGTGGTGTGGTTTGGTGTGGTGTGGTATGGTGTGGTGTGGTGTGTGTGGTGTAGTTTGGTGTGGTGTGGTTTGGTGTAGTGTGGTATAGTGAGGTATGGTATGGTGTGGTATGGTATGGTATGGTATGGTATGGTATGGTATGGTATGGTATGGTATGGTATGGTACGGTACAGTGGGATGGGGTGGGGTGGTGTGGTGTGGAATGGTGTGGTTTAGTGTGGTGAAGTGTGGCGAGGTAGGGTAGGGTGTGATATAGTGTGGTGTAGTGTGATAGGGTAGAGTAGGGTATGGTATGGTATGGTATGCTATGGTAGTATAGCATAGTATGGTATGGTATGGGTATGGTATGGTATGGTACAGTACGGTATGGTATGGTATGGTATGGTATGGTATGGTATGGTATGGTATGGTATGGTATGGTATGGAACGGTAGTTGAATGGAAATATCTGACAATAAATTGCGGCGCGAATGTTTGACCACACTATAAATAGTGACCAATACCACCCAAAGATGGCACTCACGTCCAGCAGAAGTCTCACGGCCGACGTCTCGCCAAAGTAGGCCGCCAGGTGGAGGGGGGTCCAGCCTCGGTTGAACTTCTGGTTGCCTGGTGGGGAAAAAATGTCGCACATGTGTGTCATTTTTGGTCAGATTTTTTTTTTTT